TAATTATTTATTGTTCGATTTGTATAAAACAAAGTTCATATGCTCCGTTGTCTCAATTGTCATTTTTTTTGTTACCAATAGTGTTATCTGTCGGCACCGGAAGTGGCGTAAATTGACAAAAAACTACAATTTTGACAGTTAGGTACCATTTTTCGAAAGCAAATATTATTTTTTTCAAATCTGGTATAACTGAAATTGTGCGCCCTTTAAAGGCGCACAAAATGTTGGAACCAGTTTTTTTAATTTCGATTCCGTTTTCGGGCTATTTCGATTAAAAGGTGAAAAAAGGTGTAAAATTAAGCTATTTACAACCCATCCAGCGTTTTCATATTTTAAAATATTACTTCGTAACTTTCATAAACTCGTAGCAATAATCTATACGGAGAGAATGTATGTGAAAATTAATTTGTAATATGCGCAGTTGCCGAGAAATGGGCAATTTTGCATGAGTCACTTTTTACGCTAGTTTGCCTGTAAAAGAGTCAATTATTATTCGATTTTCATAAAAGTGACACCATTTGATGTGTAATGTCAATTTTAACTAGGTCAAACCAATTTAACATTTTCAATATCACCGGAAATGACGTAATTTGGGCAAAAATTGTATTTATAGCCTTCGAAACCAGTAATTTATTCAAATGAGTCATATTTGTTATTTGTTTAAAATTTTGATATTTGATTCAAATGAACTAATACAATGAACCCTTACGATCATATAGATATCACAAAATGGTTTCTAACTTGTTCAGTTGCGGAGAAATAGGCAATTTTCAACAGGTCACTTTTTAAGGTTTTTTGTCAATAAAAGTGTCAATTATTATTCGATTTTCATGAAATTTTCATTGTGTGATACCTAATGCCATTTACGATTTCATACAAGTAATTTAAGATTTTCATTATCACCGGAAGTAACGTCATTTTGGCAAAAACTGTATTTTTAGCCTTCAAAACAGATATTTTATTCAAATGAATCAGATTTGTAATGTTTTTAAAATTATGATATTTGATTCCAATCAACAAATAGAATGAACTCATTCGATCATACAGATACCTCAAAATGGTTTCTAACTTGTACGGTTGCAGAGAAATAGGCGATTTTCTACAAGTCATTTTTCAAGGTTTTTGGTCTATAAAGGTGGCAACTATTATAGGATTTACATAAAATTTTCACCATGTGATGATGCTATTTCTGATTTCATAAACCAATTTAACATTTTCATTATCACCGGAAGTAATGTAATTTTGGTACCGGAAGTGACATAAGTTCAAGGGTAACGTGGCACCGGTGAAACCCGTCATTACTGCTTCGCAGTTCTAGTTCTTATTATTATTATTCTTCTTTTGTTTTGAGTAGATCTCAGCAACTGATTGTCGGATCGTTACGATTTCTTCGGTTTTATCGGAAAAGTGGGTGTGACTTAGAGGATAAAGCTATTTTGAACGTTCTGCGACAATGCGAAATGTCCGAAATCACCGAAGCTATCGTTTTTAGAAATATTGCAGTAATTTTAACAATAATCATTGGATTTTAACTTTCGATGCATTTTGGCATAGCCGGAGACGGGGCACATAGCTACGCTACTTTTGATTTTTGATTTTCGGCAAATCTTCGCAGATATTAGGCGCTAAATTTAGAAAATTTAAATTTTTACAAAAAACTTTTTTATTTATGAATATTTTTTAATCGTGTTTTACACAAATATAACGAGTCCTCTGACTTGGGCAAAAATGTGAAAATTTTTTGTCTCGGTAATTTTCCTTGGCCCCCATTGGCTAATTCAGTTTTTCAGTCCTAGATTAATTATTTATTGTTCGATTTGTATAAAACAAAGTTCATATGCCCCGTTGTCTCAATTGTCATTTTTTTTGTTACCAATAGTGTTATCTGTCGGCACCGGAAGTGGCATAAATTGACAAAAAACTACAATTTTGACAGTTAGGTACCATTTTTCGAAAGCAAATATTATTTTTTTCAAATCTGGTATAACTGAAATTGTGCGCCTTTTAAAGGCGCACAAAATGTTGGGACCATGTTTTTTAATTTCGATTCCGTTTTCGGGCTATTTCGATTAAAAGGTGAAAAAAGGTGTAAAATTAAGCTATTTACAACCCATCCAGCGTTTTCATATTTTAAAATATTACTTCGTAACTTTCATAAACTCGTAGCAATAATCTATACGGAGAGAATGTATGTGAAAATTAATTTGTAATATGCGCAGTTGCCGAGAAATGGGCAATTTTGCATGAGTCACTTTTTACGCTAGTTTGCCTGTAAAAGAGTCAATTATTATTCGATTTTCATAAAAGTGACACCATTTGATGTGTAATGTCAATTTTAACTAGGTCAAACCAATTTAACATTTTCAATATCACCGGAAATGACGTAATTTGGGCAAAAATTGTATTTATAGCCTTCGAAACCAGTAATTTATTCAAATGAGTCATATTTGTTATTTGTTTAAAATTTTGATATTTGATTCAAATCAACTAATACAATGAACCCTTACGATCATATAGATATCACAAAATGGTTTCTAACTTGTTCAGTTGCGGAGAAATAGGCAATTTTCAACAGGTCACTTTTTAAGGTTTTTTTGTCAATAAAAGTGTCAATTATTATTCGATTTTCATGAAATTTTCACTGTGTGATACATAATGCCATTTACGATTTCATACAAGTAATTTAAGATTTTCATTATCACCGGAAGTAACGTCATTTTGGCAAAAACTGTATTTTTAGCCTTCAAAACAGATATTTTATTCAAATGAATCAGATTTGTAATGTTTTTAAAATTATGATATTTGATTCCAATCAACAAATAGAATGAACTCATTCGATCATACAGATACCTCAAAATGGTTTCTAACTTGTACGGTTGCAGAGAAATAGGCAATTTTCTACAAGTCATTTTTCAAGGTTTTTGGTCTATAAAGGTGGCAATTATTATAGGATTTACATAAAATTTTCAACATGTGATGATGCTATTTCTGATTTCATAAACCAATTTAACATTTTCATTATCACCGGAAGTAATGTAATTTTGACAGGATCACTGACATGTAGCAAATGAATTGGTTGCTGGATTTGGTTGTTTCTGTGTCCATTTTATTTCATGTGTGCAATGCTTATGTGGAAACCTGTTTAACGGTTTCATTGGTACCGGAAGTGACATAAGTTCAAGGGTAACGTGGCACCGGTGAAACCCGTCATTACTGCTTCGCAGTTCTAGTTCTTATTATTATTATTATTCTTCTTTTGTTTTGAGTAGATCTCAGCAACTGATTGTCGGATCGTTACGATTTCTTCGGTTTTATCGGAAAAGTGGGTGTGACTTAGAGGATAAAGCTATTTTGAACGTTCTGCGACAATGCGAAATGTCCGAAATCACCGAAGCTATCGTTTTTAGAAATATTGCAGTAATTTTAACAATAATCATTGGATTTTAACTTTCGATGCATTTTGGCATAGCCGGAGACGGGGCACATAGCTACGCTACTTTTGATTTTTGATTTTCGGCAAATCTTCGCAGATATTAGGCGCTAAATTTAGAAAATTTAAATTTTTACAAAAAACTTTTTTATTTATGAATATTTTTTAATCGTGTTTTACACAAATATAACGAGTCCTCTGACTTGGGCAAAAATGTGAACATTTTTTGTCTCGGTAATTTTCCTTGGCCCCCATTGGCTAATTCAGTTTTTCAGTCCTAGATTAATTATTTATTGTTCGATTTGTATAAAACAAAGTTCATATGCCCCGTTGTCTCAATTGTCATTTTTTTTGTTACCAATAGTGTTATCTGTCGGCACCGGAAGTGGCGTAAATTGACAAAAAACTACAATTTTGACAGTTAGGTACCATTTTTCGAAAGCAAATATTATTTTTTTCAAATCTGGTATAACTGAAATTGTGCGCCCTTTAAAGGCGCACAAAATGTTGGGACCATTTTTTTTAATTTTGATTCCGTTTTCGGGCTATTTCGATTAAAAGGTGAAAAAAGGTGTAAAATTAAGCTATTTACAACCCATTCAGCGTTTTCATATTTTAAAATATTACTTCGTAACTTTCATAAACTCGTAGCAATAATCTATACGGAGAGAATGTATGTGAAAATTAATTTGTAATATGCGCAGTTGCCGAGAAATGGGCAATTTTGCATGAGTCACTTTTTACGCTAGTTTGCCTGTAAAAGAGTCAATTATTATTCGATTTTCATAAAAGTGACACCATTTGATGTGTAATGTCAATTTTAACTAGGTCAAACCAATTTAACATTTTCAATATCACCGGAAATGACGTAATTTGGGCAAAAATTGTATTTATAGCCTTCGAAACCAGTAATTTATTCAAATGAGTCATATTTGTTATTTGTTTAAAATTTTGATATTTGATTCAAATCAACTAATACAATGAACCCTTACGATCATATAGATATCACAAAATGGTTTCTAACTTGTTCAGTTGCGGAGAAATAGGCAATTTTCAACAGGTCACTTTTTAAGGTTTTTTTGTCAAAAAAAGTGTCAATTATTATTCGATTTTCATGAAATTTTCACTGTGTGATACATAATGCCATTTACGATATCATACAAGTAATTTAAGATTTTCATTATCACCGGAAGTAACGACATTTTGGCAAAAACTGTATTTTTAGCCTTCAAAACAGATATTTTATTCAAATGAATCAGATTTGTAATGTTTTTAAAATTATGATATTTGATTCCAATCAACAAATAGAATGAACTCATTCGATCATACAGCTACCTCAAAATGGTTTCTAACTTGTACGGTTGCAGAGAAATAGGCGATTTTCTACAAGTCATTTTTCAAGGTTTTTGGTCTATAAAGGTGGCAATTATTATAGGATTTACATAAAATTTTCAACATGTGATGATGCTATTTCTGATTTCATAAACCAATTTAACATTTTCATTATCACCGGAAGTAATGTAATTTTGACAGGATCACTGACATGTAGCAAATGAATTGATTGCTGGATTTGGTTGTTTCTGCGTCCATTTTATTTCATGTGTGCAATGCTTATGTGGAAACCTGTTTAACGGTTTCATTGGTACCGGAAGTGACATAAGTTCAAGGGTAACGTGGCACCGGTGAAACCCGTCATTACTGCTTCGCAGTTCTAGTTAAAGATGTTGTTACACCTTATTGTAGTGCAAATACAAACAAACAAATATAAAAAGAAACTTAAATACAATCTAACTTGAATTAGACTGAGTATTCAAATACATGGACCATGTATTGGTAACAACTGAGTTAAAGGGAGAAAGAATATGAAATGAAAAGTTGATTTATCTGTGGATTTTCTACAGTTTCTAGACACAAAAATCAACAGCAGTCAAAAGACATGAATATTAGAGTACAAGTGAAATACCATCAACGTTGTATTCAAGGTTGTTTATCACAAATTCATCCTTAAAATAATGTAAACCTATTACGAACAACTTGAAAACCTTTCCATATATCCTCAAAAATAATCTAGTCACGCTCAGGGTCATCGAGATGAGGTTGATAGCCAAGAGGTATCTCCGCCCATTTTTGCCGGTCTCCAGAACCGAAGACTCCAAATATTACACCGCCTAAACCATATATACTGGCAGCTAGATAAAATACTATCCTCCATTTGTCTGTTCCTCCCTTAAATAAAGAGAAAACACATTTACAGAAAACTGGAATATAATTACTGTTTTTAACTGAGTGAGATTTCGAAAAAGATTCGCTACTCTTTATCAAGCAAATGATGCGACTATAAATTGGATATTATATAACAATAACTTAGTTAATGATTTGCCAAAATCAATCCAGTTTAATTTGGGTCAATTAGAGGTTCGAGTTAACTACACATGTTTAAAGCTAACTGTTTCCAGTGGTTTTAAGTAAACCTTCTGTTTAGATAGCCAAATTAAGCCATTTCTTTTTTTAAAAGTTTTTAAAAGACATGTAGCGATCGTCTTTGATTGGCATGTAGCGACCTGTTTGGTTTTTCTTAAAATAGGTTATTTGCCTAATCTTTGCTTACCATATTTAAGCCTCTGAGATGCATTAGGTAATATTTAAAGGGCCATTATGCAAGATTTAGATAAAGAGCTGGCTGTTTCAAAACTAGATAATGCAAAATTAATATATTGAATATGTCATTCAAATTACTTTATTATCAGCAAAGTTATGCAATTTTTGTAGTTTTGATAAGATGGGTGCATTGATCGTAACCACAATACTGGTCATTCCGAGTCTTAGCCTCACTTCTCCATTTTTAGATTAAAACTACTTAAAATCAGAGGCAACCGATAGCATCAAGAGTTGATTACGCCCATAGAAAGACCTGCATAGGCAGATATAACTCTTATCTAATGCCTGCTTAATTAAAGAATTATATAATCCTTGAGTGGCATTTAGCGATTGAACACATTAAAAACACAACACAGTTTATCACCGATAGCATCAAGATTTGATTACGCCCATAGAAAGACCTGCATAGGCAGATATAACTCTTATCTAATGCCTGCTTAATTAAAGAATTATACACGCTTACCTCTTGAACTATAACACCTGTTAGACTAGGACTGACTATTCCTGGTAGTGTAGCGAATGTATTAGATAATCCCATCAATATACTAGCATACTGTGGTGCTATATCAAGATGGTTGACGCCTATTCCAGCCCAGGCGAATCCACCTAAACCTACAGCTATTGTTAGACATGTTATAGCAGCTACAGGAGTCAACAGATAACCAGCAGTTATCATAAACACTGCCTGGATGGCAAATGCTGAAATAGTTCAATAAATAATTATATGGAATTTTAAAATATTGAAAGAGAATAAAGGAATGGAGTTTAACACCTTATTATTAACACAATACTTTGGTCATTTTTAGTTTAGATCAATTAACTTAAATTCGCTGAATGGCATTTACATTTTTCAGACAATATATAATTTTTCACAACTCGATGCTAAAATGCACTCAAATTGATTATTCAACATTTTATTTCTAACCAATATAATGATGGTAGATAATCCCTCTCTATGTAGATTCAGTTGCATTTATAGGGGAGAGGGATTATAGAGGCTCTGACTGTTTCCTAATCCTACACTTTAATCAAATTCGCTTTTATAAAAAAATTGCATTATAAAGAGCCCTATCAAAAGATTTCCACGTAATTGACAGGTGGTGCTGATTGTTTTTGATCATGCTATACAGCAGATGCCTAACACTGACAAATTTAAATTCATATCTTTTTGGACCGACATCCCTTTTAGTCTCTATCATCCAGACAAATATTCTATGAATATTAGTCTGGATGGGTTGTCAACATTTGAGAATAATATGTCATAGGCTAGATTATCTGCTCTTTTACATTATCATGATGAACAACGGCTAAGGGAGGTAACTAGTCCTAAAACAAGACATCAACACCCATAAAATTATTTTAAGAACTGACGTTTCAGAAAATCTATTTACATTGCCGGTTCAATATCCAACACTCTTAATTTTTTTTTATTGTAAAATTTCTCTCTTCATGGGCCATATCTTTGATTTTTTTATTTATCCTAATTTGTCGTCATGATTCATGTGATTTGTTTATAATAATGCATAAAGTATGGGATTTATTTCGGGAAGGGGCACAACTCTTACTTGACCTGGATAAATACATGTACATGTATACTGGATAATCAACCACATAAAATACCAAAATCCCAGTTACACATGGGCAATGAAACTTTTCATCAAATATTGACAACAGTCCCAGACCCTTCATACGTTGAAGACGAAGAGGTTCTGGGTGACCGAGACTATATTCCTTTTAGAGATTACACTTTCACAATATTGTAGTTTCAAAGTCTCCCGTAAGACAATCAGGGAATTTAATGGCCAATTAAACTACCCTTAAAAATATTTACAAACAATAATTGTAAACTACAAAATTTAGAATGTGATATTTACCTCCACATGTGAAGAGCTTTCTAACTATGGTTGTTGAAACACCAAAAGTATTTCTTAACATGTCTGCTAGTTGTCCACAAAATATAACTACAAAACCCATAACTAAATATGGTAATGCTGAGAGGAAACCACTCTACAAAATTTTCAAAATAAACAAAAAATTATATTTTAAGATTCTTTAAATTAAAGATACATAATGGGAGATTCGATAACGAGTTGGTAGTTCTCAATATAATACAGTGCACTCTGTCACATCCGACATTGTACGGGATCGTTACAATATGTCGGATTACGCAGAGTGTCGGAATACCCAGTTTTCTCAAAACCTCAAATATTGTAACTTCGAAAACCCGAAGTATAATTATAATGTAGCTTCGAACATAGAACTTCGAATCACCAGAATGTTATTCCCTTTAAAAATGATAAACCTTTCTGTACATTCAAAATTTTATTACATTAATTTTTATTTCATTTAACATGCGTAGGCATTTTGAATAGGTCAAGTCTGTCGTTAATTTATCTTCTTCGCTGTCTTCAGTTAATCGCACTCTTGTCTTTGCTATCATGTGTTCATTGAATGGGCGTACTCGATTGAACGTTCCGGAATTGAATTCTCTCAATCCCAAAAATAGTGACAATCGAGTGAAAATGGGTAATTAGGGCTACAACGTGTGCGTCAACTGTATATATATTGGGGATGCTCGATTCACAGTCCGGAACGTCCCAAATTGACAGAATTGCAATCGAGTGACATGGAATTCAGTTCTGTCACAGTTCTGTCAGTCCCGACGACGGAGGTGGTGTGAGTAGAATTGTGACGTAATTAAACACGACAAACGGGTTTCGGCTGCATGGTCGAATTACCCAGAGATTTTTTGGCTGAAGTAATAAGGAAATAAATCGGGACATGAAAATGGTGTCGGATATAACAGATTTCCGGAGTGATCAGAGGTCGGATCTGACAGAGTGCACTGTAGTTAAAAACTAGATAATGTAAAGGCAATTTGCTGAAAATTTCATTCAAATTGATCCACTATGAACCAAGAACTAAGCGATTGAAATTTCCACCTAGCCTCGATCATCATTACTAAAGTCAGTACGATAAACAGCATCATCTCGATTATCCATTTAATTCTTAAATCGTGAAGGAAAGTTATGCAGTAAATCGGCTCATAATCCACCAAAGGTCGCAGACAAGCGATGCCATCTAGAGTTGATTATGGTCTGGGTAGGTTAATTAATGTCTAATTAATAATTTCGATAACATTTCAGGCCGAAAGAAAGACCTGCAATAGACAGATTTAGCTCTTGCATAATGTATGTTTAACATAAGAATACTCTGTTTGACAGCATTTCCTTTCCATATACTATTATAAATTACTCACACTTTCAATATTGAATCTAAGAACATTATTCATGAAGGTCGGAAGTTCAGCTAACCAGGTGTAAAACCCCCAATTCTCAGCAAAATGGGCTGCAACCAGCGCCCAAACAGGAAGTGATGTCAGAAGTTGCGACCATGGTGGGTGGATTCTCTAAATAAAATAAAAATCATGTATTCAACATCCATCAACATAATTTTTTAAACAAAAGATTGGCATTAACTTGTCGATCCATGTCTGGTAACCATGCAGGGTGTTAAAATCAAACTTAATTAAACTTCCGTTTATTAAAAGGGAAAATATTCCTTGTGCACTGACTTTTGTTTGGCAAAGACCCCCCCCCCCCCCCCAAGTATGCATCTGTCTGCTTGCATAATGGAGGTGTGTCCTTTTGTATTTTGTCTCACCCATCGAACAAATTTTGGAAAACAGTGCTGGTTCCATCTAAATTTATGATCGCCTGTAATTAAATTTACAAGAGGTAGCTTTTTCATTCAATAAGTAGTGCCATCAGGTGTTCTAGAAATAGTACCTGCTCCGTTACACTAACCTTGGTTTGTTCATCAGTATAACCTATATTTTGTTGAATATATTCTAATTCAGCATTAGTTATACTCTGATGTTTAGCTGGACTTTCTGTTATTATAATACACCAAACCATAAACCATAGAACAGCAAGACTTCCTGATTGTTAAATAAAATATATAACAAAACATATGTATGGCCATAAACAATAGAACAACTCAACTTCCTGATAATTAAATATTATTTTAAAAAATATACGACATAACATATGGCCATAAAGTACAGCCATATTTTTACACCTCTGGTTTTCTGTAAAACATTCACAGATCTTCAATCTGCTATTCCTTTGGCAATAACAGTCTTAGTCAATCACAGTGACTCAAATAAGACTTAAAAGATTCATAATGCAAGAGCTAAATCTACCTATTGCAGGTCTTTATTTTGGCTTCAAATGTTATGTACTCTACAAAAAAGTAAGGGATATTGAAATGCAAATACCTATGCAGGTTGTGATATGATAAATAGTCATGAACACTTGACATGCTTTGAGAGTATCTTCACAGATGAAGAACTTATCGCCCGAACAGAACAACTGGGAGGGGTTCATTATCAAATTTGACACTTCAAGGAAGGGTTGATGAAAACTGCTGTGTGCTGGTTTATCCTATCCATGTTCACTTTCCTATCGGTTCTTGCATAAGATTTATTGTTTAGCATATCTTTGCTTTAGTGTGTTACGTTTAATTTCCAATGAGACTTCTTCAACATGATGAATGTCTATGTGCTATTGGCATGCCTTAAATGGGTTCTACACAGAGAGCAGTAGCCAACATGCTTAATGTGTCACAGTCAGTGCAGACTTTGGAACCGGTACCAACAAACACACAATGTTGATGATAGATCTCGTCCAGGTCGTCTTAGAGCCACTACACAAGACAAGGATCTATACATTGTACACAGGTCCTGTGAAATCGAGGACAAATGGCCAATCAGCTCTCTGTAAATTGGTACCAAGTTACAGGAATTGGAGTTACACCCCAAACGATTAAAAAATCAGCTACATGCAGCCCATTTGCATGCACCACGACCGCCTGTTGTGCCTCCATTAACCTGCCAGCACATGGCAAACAGGCGTCAATGGTGTAGTAGCGTAGAAATTGGGGTAATTGTCAATGGGCACATGTAATGTTCTGGATTTTACCGAGAGGTATGTATATGAGCGTCATGTTAACGTCAGACAGCATGACAGAATCGGGCGTGGGTCTGTTATGGTTTGGGGGGGAATCACCATGACTGGCAGAACGGACTTGCATATTGTTCAAGGAAGGGTCACTGGTGTGTACTACCGTGACCACATCCTGGCACTGATAGTTCTGCCCTTTGCTTAACATGCAGGTCAGTGTTTCATCTTTCAAGATGATAATGCCCTTGGCCACCTCCAGCGTCACCATATTGTCCATATGCCTTGGCTAGCCATGAGTCCTGACATTTCCCCTAAAGGTCATGTCTGGGACATGATCCGGAGACGTGTTCGTCAACGTCAACCGATAACACTACAAGAATTGGCCATGGCACTGCAAGAGGAGTGGGTCAGATTGCCCCAAATCGTGATTGGATGGTTGATTAGGAGCATGCCACGACGAATTGCTAAATGTCTGAGGATTGGTGGAGCAATTACTCATTATTAAGACAAAAATCAAAAATGTCACTTTTGACAGTGTATCTCTTAGCGAGTGAAATGGGGCCATCAGATAAGCCGCCCATATGAACTGTTTATGTTCATGTGTAGGCAATTGGCCTGTTATTAACATACACTGGTTACCTCTAATAAAAACAGCAGTGCATTTCCGCAGTTTTGTATTGTTTCTGAATATCCCCTACTTTTTGGGAAGAATATATAAACTATTATTTAGATATTCATTCACATGACAAGCCTATATATATAATCAACTTTTTAGACCATCTGTTGGCCTAGATTTAAATGGATTTGAACACCTGCCAGTTTTACAAATTTAAGAATAAAATGGATGATTAGGACTTAGTCTCAATTGTCAAATACCATTGCTACGATAATAAATATTCTACACTACATCTTGTCAAAACTTCAAACACTCAGAATAAAATAATCTGAATGAAATTTCCAACAATATTCATTTGTCATTATTTATTTTTGAACTATTACAGCCCGAATGGCCAGCTCTTTATTTAAATATTCCATAATGCACATTTAAGGGGAACAGATAACCAGTACTGAAGCAATTAGATCTTATGATCTAATGTAGAGCAGATCAACAGACTAATCTAGTTTAATTAGACTGCTTACCAAATACATAGAAAATGGAAGGCCATCCTGCTGCACTTCTACCTAAAGCACCTGATATTGGTAATGCTACTACTGTTCCTATATATGAACCTATAAAACAAATCAAAACAGATTGTAAACATTTTTTATTTTAAACAATATTTTTGTTTAAAAACTTTTTTTGAAGCTTAAATTAAACATTATCTGTAAAGCATATTTGGTCACAATCTTAATTTTCCATATAAAATCATCGGAACTAGTCATATAACACATTTTGGCCAAATATTCTAAGAACTTCAGGATTAAAAAGAAAATTTGCAATGCTCACCTGAAAATGCAAATAATGCCAATTTAGTCTTTTCCTGTGGTGGAGCCCATTTTGACCATATAGCATGTATAGCTGGATAGGTTACTCCCTTTAATAAATATTGAGAAATACATAAAATCTTGAAGAAATGTCGGCTAAAATTAACCTTTACCTGTACAGTCTGAAATTGACACATGATGTAATGTGGTCACACTTTTTATTTAAGGGCTTATAACTTTATGTGACCATTTGGTAATTATGACTATAAAAGGCATTAAGCTACAACGTAACTGTGTGTCCAGGGATTAAATATATATTAATCAAAAGATTATATTTTTCTACCAGTTTCAATTTGTTTATACCGAGAAAGTAAAATGAAATGAAATGATATGGAGTTTAACGTCCTACTTTTCTGCTCCTAACCTGGGCTAATGAAGACGGGCATACGCCATACAGTGTGCTATGAGGGAAATTTTGCCCGGACAGCGGCACTACGGCCTACTCTTATATCAAATTCCAACTGCCAAGGGATCTTTTACGTGCACGCCAATGTGTACACGGGACCTCGGTTTTTCGTCCCATCCGAACGACTAGACAGCTTTCCTTGTCAGCCCCTCCGTCCTGCATCACTGACAAGGGAGAACCACGCCGGACCGAGAAAGTAACTGCAAGGGATACACTGTTTCTCTCTCATATGATGCTACAGATTTTCTTTTCACAATGAATTATACCAAGTTTTGCTGTTAAGCTTTTAATAATTTTCTATATCTTTGGTAAATGCAGGTCAATTGCATATTTATTCTTCAAAATTCTAGGAAATTGGAATTACCTACCTCACAAAAACCTTGTAGTACTCTAACAGATATCAGTAAATATACACTCCATGTTACAAATAATGGTGTCAATAATGCTAATACAGCTGTAATAAATATTCCTCCTCCAAAAAAATATTTACCTCCATAATGATTGGCTAAAAATCCTGTAAAAACAGAGTGACTAACATTAAAGTATTACCCATATTATGTTTCTTCACTTGCAACAAAAAATGTGTTCATAAAAATCCATTAACAATTAAATATCTTATGACTAAGCAGGTAATATTATTATCATTATTGTTTTTTATAATATTTGAAATATTTCTGGAAAAAAGTTTAATAATCTTAAAGATTACTTTATGGAAGAGCTAAATCCACCTATTGCAGGTCTTTATTTTGGCTTTAAACCTGAATAAAGTAATTTCAATGAAATTTTCAATATTCATTTTTGTTTAATAATCCCTAAATATCAAGGTACATGTAGGTGTGAAGTAACTGTAAATAAATGTGGAAAGTGTACCAAAGACTTTTTCAGTGGCAGTGCAAGTGGTTAAAGTTTGTCATATCCAAGCTCATTTAGCCAATTTTCCCCCTAATCGATGCCAAGATGCAATTATTTCTGTTAATTGTGTCATAGTTCATACCCCAAATTGCTTAGTTCAACAGGAATTTTTGAAAATTATCTTGTTGCTATTTTATACTAATCCAAGATCATCAAAATGATTTAGTAATATTAGCAAATATTACAACATGTACTTGCTCACCCGCTTAAATAACACAATTTTTTATTCAATAGTATGCAAGCAGTTAACCCACACTGTAGACCTTTAGTTTGAATCACAGGAAAAGGTATATACATGTATGTCATTTGAAACTAAAAATGTAATAGTCACAATTTTCTGTCACAATGTATTTTTAAATAAATAGGTTAATATAAATTCATGTTATAACCAATGTTCCATCTAATTTTAAGTAGTCAATATGCGCACAATGATATGGTCTGCAAATTTTATTTCTGTGATAATAGTACCATATGTACCCAAGATATTTGTACAAATGCAAACCTGAAATTACCTATTTAAACTGTATGTTTGATGAGCTTGTTTTAATATAAAATATGCAAGATTGCATTTTTGAAGTAATGTATTTAGTTCAGAGCTTGACATTTTATTTTGTACATGTACTTTGTTCAGTTCCATCCTGTTTTTATATGATGCAATGTTGAAATAAATAGATAACAGACTCGCCCATCAATTCACAGTTGTTATTATTAAAGTTTCTATAAATGGTTAAATAGTATTTCACATTTTTAACTTTGTGTCGGACATATGAGACAGTCACCAGTGGATTGTGCCTTACAATATCTGTGACAGGTGTCTTATTTCCTGTCCTCGCTATTCCCAGTGGTCTCAATCCATTCAACTCCACTAACCCCTGGGTTCATCTACGGGGAAGAAATTTATTCAAATTATCTGCTCTTAATGATTGTGCTATTTTTATCAACCAATACGCTTGGTAGCATAGCGACTTGCCACTGCGTGTTTGACTGACATATAAACATTTTCCCATTAAAAAGTGGTTTTAGGACATCTTTTGGTGTGCCTGTCACTTCTTTTACATTAAATTTCTTGCAATGCAAACTTTCTCATAATCAAGCGAACAAATGTACCATATTGTTGTGAACATAAACAATGAGGCTAAGAATGGTTTGTAAACTGTTTTTTGATTGGTTCGTAGAATCAAGCTACTATCAAGGGCAGATAATTTAAATATATGTGAATATCCTAAGGATGAATCAAGGGTATAGGGGAGTAGAACGGAATGAGACTACTGGGGATACTGTGGATGCTTATTTCCAGGCTTGCTTTGTGTACTTGTTGCAAAACATGGATAATCCAAGATACTGAGTGGGATATAAAAATATACTCAATTTTATCATGTTTTATAAGAAACATGAAATCTAAAAATACATAGGCCTACACATACACAATGGATTAACCTATCAAAATAAGTAAAATGTATTTACCTCCAGGTAATTGTGTAATAATATAACCCCAGAAGAATGAAGATAGAATATGTCCTTGTAATTCTAAATCCCAATCATAATCAGGCGGCTTTACCTAGCAAAATGTAAACATGCACATATAAATAAGACATAATTAAAGATGGATTAAAAGATTTAGATAAAGAACTGACAGTTCTCACTATAACAGCTAAAACATAGATAATGAAAAGGGAATATTTTGAAAATGTCAGGCAAATTACTTAATTCTTAGCGGAGTTATGGCCGTCTGAAGAACAGTGTAGTCTTGATTATCATTGCTAATATACAAAGTCTCGATTATCCAATTTTAATTAAATTATTAACCAGGCAATTGTGCTTAAATCAGTTGAAAATCAAAGCCATACGATAATCTAGAGATTTGATTATGGTCTTGGCATGCGAATAAATGTGAATAAAACGAAAGATCTGCATTAGGCAGATTTAGCTACTGAATAATGCATCTTTAAACCGATCAGCACTCCTGATAATTTCAGGTATCCCTAAATTTAAGACAAAAGACGAAAGGTAAACTTTTTAAAACTTGATTTTAAAGAAGCTAAACTATTTATTACAATACTATTTATTTTACAAACAAAAGCATCATTACTTCTTTGATCTACACCAATTTCAAACTGCTGTATTTAACAATGTTGATTTTTGTAATGTATATAATATTATTATACTTACGACTGTATAAGTGTTATTAATATGAATTGTTTTATTATTAGTCATGGCAACAATAGCTACGCTCAAATTCACTCGTAAAGCATATGTATTAGCTGAAAATAAATAAAAAATTTAAAATATGGTGATACATAATTTAACAGTTCAACAACAGCAGTGAAATATTCATTTCCCATGTTTTACACAGGAATCTCGATGACCATCCTACTAAACTGCAGTAGGCTAGGGTAAAACTCAAATATATGTCCTTAATTATCCAATAGCAACAAATGAACAATGCAGTGATCTGTTACAATGACTACAATGATTACAATGATTACAGAATAGATAAAAGAAGATTTTTAATGATAGCTTGTTCCAGACCCTCTAAACCATCAACACAAGCAGCAATAGTGACTTAAATATGCTTTAGGTATTAGCCCCACCAATTATTTCACAGTGTTTTGAACACAGGGTAAGTTTCTGATATTTAAGTTGGGACAAAGACAAAATACATATATTACTTGGTAAACAAAATTGAAATATATTTCTTAAACTATTTTCCTCCAAATTAACTTCCTACAATTATTTTTAAAAACCTTTAAAAAAACCAAACAGGAGGTGAGAAGGGGGTACCTCAAAATATAAAACTGATTGACTAAGAGTGGGATGGCAAAGATGTGGTGAATCTAGTCCTTGAATTGCATGAATCAAAAAACAGAACATAAATCCACTTCCAAAAATAAAAGGAAATAGATTGTAAAACCTAATAATGACAACTTAGGGAAAATGTTAAAATAATATATAAATATGCAACGAATTGAAATGAAGTTTAAAGTCCTCAGTCCTTACTGTATCATAAGGTCTGTCATTGAGTCAACTGGCGTGGTTTCGATTCCCCGGTTGTACGGGACAAGGAGTAGGGTCGCATGTCCAACATCATGGGCTTTCTCCAGGTCCTCAGTTTCCTCCCACTGCTAAAGACCCCTACGCACAATCGAATTATTGAAATAAAATTGAACGATATGTTAGTCCCATTTCTCTCTCTCCTACTTTTCTGCACCAACTGGGCTATTATATATGCCATACAATGTGCTGTGAGAGAAATTTGCCCAACTGTCAATGTATCTCTTACGTGCACACCTTACTCACAGAGTCATATCAGCGATAAGTGTGCATCTTTGATTTATACTCACCAAAACCTAAGAAAGCCATAAAGGCAACAATGTAGCGTTTTGGTACAAGACAGGATAAACTGTTCTCTGATTGGTCAGGCGTCGTATCTCCATGTATTTCTTCATATTGATGGTTAAATGTTGGTTTACTAGACTGTGCTTCTTCTGCTTCTTCGGGTCTTGCTGACTGTGGTTCCAACTGTTCTGTATCATCAGACATCTTGGATCTTTAACAAAAATTACTGTATTTCATTTTATAATGGACAATAACAAGGGCGGATCCAGAGGGGGGGTTTGGGGGGTCGAACCCCCCCCCCCCCCCCGCTACATAATTTGTTTTGTAAATCAACTCTTTTTATGAGAAAAATTTCTCAGCCGTGTGCTTTATCCTTTATCGTCAGTTGTGGGACAGGATGGGCACTCAAAGCATGAAATAATGATATAGACATTATGTGATATCACAATTAATGCTTTGCATCCATGAAATTGAATCACATCATTGTATTAATTCATAATAAAAATTGACGTCAAACGAGGTGTTGAATTTCTCTGTTTAAAAAGCTCAATGTGTATGTACATGTATATACGCCAAAATGACGATAGAGACCATGCGGGGGGAGGGGGGTATACATTGTCTCAGGAACTTGGTAAACCCCCTCCTGCAAAAATTCCTGGATCCGCCCCTGAATAATGATACTTGAATACAATTTAAAAATAATACCTCTCACATTCTGGTTTTTTTTATTATTATTAATGCTAGTATTTCTTTTTTAAAGCAACAGTTAAAGTAGCAATATTGGAGTGACAACATTATACATTATGGTCATTGGCAAACTTATTTCTCAAATCGTAAACAGGTTGGAGTCCAAAATAATGTTTGTTTTCAGTAAGTGATGGTACATGGGCATTCGTTAAGAATATTGTAAGCACTTGAGCTTAAACACTTAAAACTTCTAAATCAATATGCATATTCAATAATTAATATGATCAAAAGCTGATTAATAACAACAAATTATTCTGTCTTGCATAGATTCATTGTGGTTTACATTGTGTTATATTGATGTATGCTATGAAATAAATATTGGTATTTATAGTTTCTTCTATGGCTATAATTCACAGTTTCAAGATATTGATACAAGCAATGAAATAAAGATCAGTAAACATGAAAGTTACAATAGCAATATTCAGATATTCATGTGGTATATTGCTGTAAGCCATGAAATATTGAAATCGGGAGAAACAAGGTACAACATAATGATCAATTGTAGAAAGCTGATGTCAACTGCCTTGTAAGGTCATAATACAACATAAAAGTTACACAGTATGGCTCAATTTAGGTTGATTTTTTATATTAATTTTCATAATGAAAGTAACCAAACTTTTTTTTAAATATACCTTGTTAAGACTATCAATCATCTATTTCATGAAGTTTTTGCACATATTTTTGTCGTGACATTACAGTAAGTGGCATTTACAAGAGTTCTCAATCCCTTAATTGACTTTTAGCAAACAGATATGGTAGGAATAATTCCTATGGGAAGTCACTGGTCAAGCCATATCGTCTGTTGGACATACTGAATATAAATTTCTCAATATATGAATTTTGTTGGGGATATATACCTAATTATAATAAACATTTGCAAATTCTGCACTTCCCAATGGGGTCCCATCAAATATTTAGTCACCATAAACAGGTGTAAATAAATATTCAAGAAATAAAATAGTGATGGCAATCATTTACACTTATATCTCTATAAACTAATACTAAATTATTTCCCATTAAGATAAAGCTTAGATTATTCATTATTGAAGAAAATACAAGTGTCAACGGTAATAACTGTCAACTGTCAAATATAATATGCCATATGTTAGGTTTCTAAAGTCTGTATAATTTTGCAGATATAATTAAATTCATTAACTAATTTATTACCGCATGCTTATCAATGCATTTAAATTACATGACAAATAAGATATCGATAATCATTTACAACAAATAATCTGATAGTGCACTGTTACTGATATTACCTTTCAAATAACGGTACAAAAAGGGGAAACACTTCTTTGATCAAGCCGCCAGTCGTCGTTCCCAAATACCTCGACCTTATTATGCAAAATATTTGTTACGGATCATTTGATTGGATGCGAAATTTCTTACCAGCTGTCACTTTCGATACCCTCTTGTCGGTAGAGGAAATGAGAAAAGCAGAAATAAAACATAAAGAGCTGTTAATATTTGCTGAAAGATTAGGCTTTTTGTATTAAATAGCAGTGAATAGTTTTATTTCCTGAATGTGATCGGCTTCCAGTTCCGCAAATTTAACATAATTGCATGTTTCCATAGTAGAAGGGGGCCAATCAGATACATGGTCTCAATGTGAGTTGTGACGTCACATCCTTCAGTCGAGAGAAAATCAGTCTAGTTTCAGTCGTCCATTTTGCGTCAACTGGATATTATTTTGCCGTGTTAACCGCCTAAGTGGAGTAATAGAAATATCAAAATGGGGCCAAACTACGGGCCGAAGGTGTTAGCCATCGTTTTCAGCCTTGTGCAGGTCAGTGTTGCTTATATGGAGGTAATTTCTGCTCTTTCTAGAAGCCTAACTTCCCATATCCATGTTACATTTATTTCGGTTTTCTCATCTGTCGCTTGTGAAATTCCTGTCCATTGTTATTTTTACAGTAGATTAGCCTTTAGTGGATGAATTCAGGAGACACTGGGAACATCCACCGTTGGGTTGTTTATTATACGTTTGTTCTGAAATCATTAGCTTGGCGTTATTTTAATTGGGTGCGCTTATTACTGTTCATGCGAATATTATCTGAAGCCATAGTTCATACCTTGCGGGCATTGTGTGCCCTTTGTAGTTTATAATGACAGAACTCTCGTACTATACAATGCCGATGTGATTGGTCTATATTGTTCTTAGCCTGGCAGACAATCGTAGGCGTTTGACTGTTATTTTACAGATTTTCATTTTCGTTTAAGTTGAAAATTGCAAAGTGAAACAGAACAAATTTATTTGAGGAAAATATTTTTGAGTCATAACGTCACCTTTAATAAGCATGGTTAATATTGAGTATTGGAACGCCCGAATACACAATATACCATTATTCATGAATTGATAGGGTGTGTATTACGCATGTAACTGCTTTTAAGATGGTCAGTATTGTCTGTGTGGAAACCTCCACTTTTTAAAAGATATTCAAATTATAGTCTTTTCTTTGATGGATACTACAGTACATGTATCATCAATTTTATTTGTGGTGCAATAATTATATGGTACTATTGTAGTACATGAATAACCAAATCCAAAATGTATAGATTACAGCTGGCTACTAATTACACAATGTGCAATGTACTGAATAATTTAGTAGGTATATCATAGTTAATGAGTGAATTATTTGATACTGAGGTTTATTGTATGACTCATGAAACCCCAACTGAACATAATAATGTTGGATATTATGTCAAATAATCCAATTTGATTAAAAAAAAGAGCAGACATATGAATAAGAATAAGAATAATAATATTCATATCCTGGCTGGTTGAATGGATTTATTATTTCTAAAAACAGTTCTTCCCAATTATGATATTGTAACCTAAAACTTGTAAGTTCAAACAAGTACTTTTAAAAAATAGAACCTGTCAGGGCTGTAGGTACATAAAATGATACCTTGTAAAACAAGTTTTGTTTTTCAAATTGTCTATGAGATCATTCTGTTGTACATGTACATGTTGTTCAAGCCACTGATTGTCATTAGCTTTTTATGGACGATATTAAAAATTTCACAGAGAATCTGGGTTAAAATGTACATGCATTTCATTGTATACGCAAACCATATAGTAGTTTGCACGGGTTCCTTATGTATCTTTTACTATCCGACTATTTGCTTTTAAAACATGTTAAATTGTTGGTTCCTTATTTTTACTGTCACACTACAAACTTCCAAAAATCAATCAACAACTAAATTTAATAGGACTAGATAGTTATCACAATATTCACAATCTGCCTGCTTCTCACATTCACCTGCAGGCAACATTCGGCAAACTCTGGTACCTTACATCTAACCTTGGCTGTATGATTAATTCCGCCATTGGAACTACGTGTACTTTCAATTTCCTGGATTAAAAATGGCGATGCCCATGTACATGTAGGCGCCTGTGAAGAGTGTTTTATCTCAAGAAACTATATATTGTTTGTTATGTACTTCCGATGTCTGAAACTGTTTTTCTTTCAAATTTATCCAATTTTCTTTAAATGAAGACCATCTTTGCAATAAAAAATCTACACACTCTTCGAATTACGCCATTTTGAAAGCGGCAAGTTTTCCTAAAAAGTAAACTGGTAGCTGCATCACAATTGTATAAGTGCTACATATCACTTAACTTAATAAGCAGAGGTTACATGTAGATGGCAGCTAGTAATATGGCACATACATGTACATTGAAGGTTTGGTGTAGAAAATACTAGTGGACAGATTCTAAGTGTAAAATTGAGGCATAATGATCAAATCAGGAGAAACCCAAATGGAGAAATCATAAAAGACGTAACCTACTATAAAGTGTCTGGCCATTTCACAAATCAATGTTTCTGATACATGTACATGTATAATACAAAATAGTGTCTACCAGATACATGTACTGCTTACTGTGAAACAGATTTTATTGACTACATTCTTAGGCAATTACTTATTTTGTAATACAGTGTCCATGGAAAGCATACATGTATGTATATCTGGTAATAAATACATGTATATATAGATACAATGTAGGATCATTCAATTTAAAACAGTGTAAGGACTTTCGATTAAGCTAGGCGCCATTCACATTGAAATTAGTAATCAGGTTAAATCTTATACAAATTCCTTAATTTAGGTGAATGCATGCACATTATACGTTGTACTTCAAGTAAATTGGTTAAAGGATTATGATCCAAGTTTGCTGGTAAAATGTGAATTTGTTTCCTTTATTCATGTGCCATCTCCCTGTATCATTCATACATACAAAACCACCAATAAACAGTTTGTTTATTCTTTACATTGTATACCCAAATTCTAGGCCTGTCACTGCAAAAACAATATTTTAATATTTGGACAGCCTTTCAGAACTTATACATGTACATGTACAGGCAATAGTATGAAGGTATTACAGGGATTTTATTTTTAGACTTTCAGTGTAATGTAAGTAATAAAATGGGTATTACTTTAATAAAACTAATAAATGGCCAACCAGTTGAATGGTAAACAATGCATGGGTCAATGTAAGGTCACAACCATAAATGGAATTTCTTTATTGGACTAATACACTGAGTTAAATGTTGTAGAAGTAGAATTTAAAAAGGCATCAGACCAGTACATGTATATACATCTACATGTAAAATGTTCGATGAAAGTTACAGATTGTGTAACCCTTTATAGTTGAGAATAACCTACATGTACATTCTAAACAAGCTATTAAATATCGAAGTGGAGAGAAATGTGGTTTAACGTCTACTCGACACAAACTAAATGTACCGGTAGTTCATTTCGGGACTAACAATAACATGGTTCAATTGTATTTCAATAATTTGTTTGCGCGTAGGGGTCTTTAGCAGTGGAAGGAAACCATAGAACCGGGAGAAAACCCATGAGGTTGGACAGGTGACCCTACTCCTTGTCATGTACAACCGCCTACATTTTCTGTTTCTTGTTTCATGCAATTCAAGGACTAGATCCACCACATCTTTGCCATCCCACTCTAGTCAATCAGTTTTTATATTTTGAGGTACCCCCTTCTCACCTCCTGTTTGTTTTTGTTTGTTTAGTTTTTACTAAACATGCATTATGCAAGAGCTAAATCTGATTATTGCAAGTCTTAATTTAGGCTTCAGATGTTATAGAAATTATAAATTAGATCTTTATTTAAACAACAATACCAAAATCAACTCTGTAGACCCACGGATGGCTCGGCTACAGCTCGGATTTAAATAGGATTTCACTAATTGATTAAATCAGATAAGGGGTAACCTGATGAAAATACGTCAGTTAGATTGAGGCTAAATGATAGAGTACTTAGCGAGGCCGCTGTAAAGCGTTTCCGTATGCCATTGAAAACTTTACTTGATAATCGAGATATGTAGGTGGAGTTAACGCCTGTCAATCAAACGTTCGGCGAAGGTGAAGACACATTTCGCTACCATTTCTAGGCAAATATTACAACGATGATAACTATGTTCAGAATAAAGTAATTTGACTGAATTTTTCAATATATTCTTCTTTCATCATCTACTTTTGAACTGTTATAGCAAGATTGGCCAACTCTCTATAAATATCTCCCATAATGTATCTTTAAGTTTCCATTACATTTACAGTGTACTACTATTTCAATTCTGTATGTACATGTACCTTTATTCACACGTTGAGTTCAATATAAATTTACTGTCAGACTTTAAATACATGTACCTGTAGCAAGCAGGTCAACATAAAGTTCAAACTTTTACATGCCTGTTCTCTATGATCATTATACTTTTTATCAAGACTATTTCCTCCATGAAAACATGACATGGTGATAAAATAATTATATGGTTTGGGCAAAATGTATACTTTTTAACATTTGACAGAAGAGTGGGTCCCGGTTGTATCACAAATCCTCTGTCCCTTCCCTCCCTTTAAATGTGTACCTTGCAACAATAACAAATTTATCTGATACACTATAACAGATTTACACACTCTCTTTTAGAAGTAGGTGACAAGATCTGGTTGGACATCTCTTAACACTAAAATATTTCTTAGACAATGAAGTTATCTCTCACTTTCTACATACTGAAATTCAATTTTATGAAGGTTTGTGTTGTTTTAATGTCAGCCTGTCTATTCTGACTAGACTATAAACCCAGAGAAATCATCACTTTATACAGTAGCAACAAGAAGTTAAATGTTAGATGTCATTCTGTCTGTCTATTATATAGACCAGGCTTCATTACTGAACGGAACCAGTCAAACCTGCAGCAATAACAAACTTGACTGGGTTCTAGATCTCCTTCTCAATCAATTCTATCACAAACTCCATTTAATCTCTGACACATTACTGACACAGTTTGCTTCATTTGATCTTGAATGTCAAAGGTTACCTTTTTTTTTTTTTTTTCACAAGGTGTACATTTATGACATTCATAAACATTTATACAATTTCCGCCAATTTAAATGTTATGAAATTTGAAAAATGTTTTTTTTTTGCTTTGAATTCTAATCAAAGTTTGCTTTGTCCACTAATTACTTGAATTTGGATAGCAAACAAAATTTACTGCAATTTTGAGGCAGCAAGATCTTGTATGGAATCCTGACCTCTTAAATCAATTTATGGAATATTGCAACTGTGGCTTATGCTCACAATTTTCCATGGAAACAATGTTGATGTGAGATTTGTATTATGTATTACCCACACAAACCAGTCATCACCAATGATATTTCAATGTACTTGTAAAATCACAAGGTCAGCAACTGCTTATGCAGTACATGTATGTATTGGATTGCCTGATCTTTAAATTATTTGGTAGGTACATGTACATGTACACCAAAGGTTATTTTGCATAC